ATATATGCGAGTCAAGGCCAGCCACACCAGTTGTTGACAATAACAAACCACGTGATCAGGGCACGGTGACGCTCAGTCAGCCAGCCCACACAATTTTGACCATCCAATTCACACATTTGTAGGCAAAATGGCATCTTTTTCCATCATTCATGAAAAAAGGTTTTCCTTTCTGATTTGATGAATTCCAAATGGCTCGTTTGCTACAGATATTAAACAGTTTGGATTAAATGGCTTAATAAGTCGCAAGTATTGTTTTCACAGCCATTTTAATATGCCTCCGTGGGAAACCAGATCAGAACAAGTCACCCATGACTATCTCTAAGTGAGTGAGTGAGTGAGTTTGGTTTAACTCAGCTATGCAGATTGAATTTCGGCGGATTAGACGCCTCTGTCACCCGTGTCTGCGCAGCGTAAAACAGCATTCACCTAATTTCAAAACGCTAGGGGCGGTCGGGTAACCTAGTGGATAAAGCGTTCGCTCGTCACGCCGAAGACCCGGGTTCAATTCCCGACATGTGTACAATGTGTGAAGCCCATTTCTGGTGTCCCTCGCCGTGATATTGCTGGAATATTGCGAAAAACAGCGTAAAACCATACTCACTCACTCAAATCGCTGTCAATATAAGGCAAATTTAGTACAACGTCTATTATAGCAAAACAGACAAATATGAAGGTGTTTGAATTGTCTCTGAACTAGTTTATTAAAGAAGTTATCGATCCAGGATAGAATAGGTCTTCAGCAACCCATGCTTGCTGTAAAAGGCGACTATATGCTTGTCGTAAGAGGCGACTAATGGGATCGGGTGGTCAGGCTCGCTGACTTGGTTGATGCATGTCATCGTATTCCCATTGCGTGGATCGATCCTCATGATATCAGTCACTGGATTATCTGGTCCAGACTTGATTATTTACAGACCGCCGTCACATAGCTTGAATGTTGCTGCGTGCGGCGTTAAACAACAAACAAAAAAAACCTCGATTATTTTATCAGTTTCGTTGCCATGGCAGAATTTGACAACTTTTTTTCTAATTTTTCAGTTGGTGGAGGAGCGCGTTGTCCAAAAGCTTTTTGACAGATTTTATAAACGATATGAAGAGGTGCGGGGTTTGAAGCCAGTTACGAGTACGCAGACTAGCCTGAAACAGAAAATCATTTCGGTAAGCACAAAAGTATCTTCCCACCTTCCACTTTGAACCCGATCTGATATTTCCCCCCGAAAATAGACCTCGGAGGTGACTCGCAGCCATTGTGAGCCGGGGCTGTATCATTCGTCACCAACTCGTGTTATTCCGGGACAAGCTGAATAGCGACTCGTGCCCCTTTCGTGGCCATTTTTGCGACGGGGTTCCGTCTAAGCGCAAAGGTGCATAGCTAAAAGAATTGTCAACTCGTTGCGTAATGATTCACGTATATTTCCCCATATATTATATATATTTCAGATGCAATATAAAGCACATCGGGACATGTGGTATTATACAGTACGACTGAACACATTTAACTGTATCTTGGGTATATTTTTAGATGCAAGACATATGTAAATAAAAAAATATTCTTAAGGGATTCTTTGACCGAAGAATTTTAAGTCCTAATTTTGATTGGTTTGTCGTATTTTTGCACTTAACATTCATCGATAGGGGACGAGTCTTCTTGCAGGTTACGGAAAGGGGCGAGTGGTGACGAATAGGGGCTGCATTTGACCCGGCGACCTCTCTAGCACATGACCGTCACGTGACGGTGTAATAGTCCTCGCCACTTGAAATAGAATCACGAAACATCGCGATGATTTATTATATATAATGCTATCATAGCAATAGCAGTAGTAGTATTAGCAGTAGTATGGGTAGTAGTTGTAGTAGTTGCAGCAGAAGTAGTAGTAGTAGTAGTAGTAGTAGCAGCAGTAGTGGTAGTAGCTGTAGTAGTAGCAGTAAAAGTAGTAGTTGAAGCAGTACCGACTCACGTGGCATTCACTGAGTGAGTGAGGTAGTTCGACTTTAAGCCCATCTGAACAGTATTTCAGTTATATGACGATGTATCAACATTCGTCACCACTCGCCCCTTTCCGTAACCTGCAAGAAGACTCGTCCCCCTGTCGATGAATGTTATGTGCGAAAATACGACAAACCAATCAGAATGCGCGTATGATTTCAAGTTCTTCGTCAAAGAATCCCTTAGAAATAATTTTTGATTTTACATATGTCTTGCATCTAAAAATATAGCCACGACACAGTTAAATGTGTTCAATCATACTGTATAATTCCGCACGTCCCGATGTGCTTTAAATTGCATCTGAAATATATATAATAATATGGGGGAAATGTGTGAACCATTGCGCAACGAGTTGACAATTGTTTTAGGTGTGCCCGTTTGCGCTAAGACGGAACCCTGTCGCAAAAATGGCCACGAGAGGGGCACGAGTCGCTATCCGGCTTGTCCCGGAATAACACGAGTTGGTCACGAATGGATGTATCAAGTTCAAGCTGGGAAAACCCCCGAAATGACACGGGTCGTTGACGTTTTCACCTCGGTGTACCGATAGATCAAGGGCCACAACCTGCTCAAAGCTAGAATTCGAACCCACTATATCTGTAAGTCGATTAACCAGTCAACATTGAATATCAATCTCATTAAAATCAGACCTTAGTTCTCGCTTCCGCTAAACAGAGATCTGAGGACATCCCATTAGGGGTCACCTCAGACCAACCTTGCGCGAACTTTGACCGACCAATGGAATGACCATTCAGAAGGCAGCTTTCTCGTGCTTTAGGGTACTAATTTCAAATTGGCGACTACGCTTCGAAACATATTTTGACAAATTCTTGATTACAAATTTGAAAAATGAACAAAAGAACATTCTGGAATGGCTAATAGATGGTCTAGATTTTATGGATACAGTCGTTAAACCCGTAACTATCGCTCGGAGTTAACGTTTTCGAGGTTGCATGGTCAGAAATCACATTTCCGACTGTCACTTCCATAATCTGGTAAGCGATGCTCTGATTGGTCGGATGAAAGATCGACCTGACGTGACCCTAATGGGATGTCCTCAGATCTTTGTTTAGCGGTAGCGAGAACTGAGGTCTGATTTTATTGAGATCGCATTGAATATGTAAATTGTTGTGGAAAAGTATGTTCATGGAATTTACAACAAACTGAACTTTTTCCAGTCCTCCACGAATTTCTACAACGAAAGACGAAGGTGTTTCCGTGACCGCTTCACCAGCTACAGCTCCAGCGCTAGCACCACCTCAGATGGCGACTGACCGATCAGAATAAAGGACATAAGTGACCAATCAGCCAGTTCCACAAACCAAACGAAGTGTTCAACAATCAATCCATTCGTGACCAGTCGTGCCATTCCGGGACAAGCCAGTTACGGAAAGTAGCGAGTTGGGACGAATGCAATCAAATCGGGATCTTCCGGGTAAAGACGGAAAAGGGGTGACATGTATATACCCTTCAGGGCATTCGAGTTCAAGTGTGATAAAACCCACCTCGGGGAGTTAAACTCCCTTGTCTCACGTTAACACCCGAATAAGTACTTTGGTTAGAGTAACTTCCATTTGTTCCTCGGTGTGTGATCGGTTCAACTCGGCTTATTTCGTTACCTTCGTAATGCCAGGGAGTCTATCAAACTCCTCCCAGCGACTGCCCGTTTGCGGGCCTCTCTGTGAACAATCATAGCTCCCGACTCAGTAGCGTTCGCAACTGTCTGACAATTATGGTTTCCGAAAGTGATGAATGTCGTGACGCCGAAAATTCTTACCCCCAGCGAAATAATTTTTGTGTCAATTTTGAATTTCTATTTCATTTCAGCTACAATTAGTTTAGTGAGAATGCAAGGGCTATGTTGAGAGCTCTTCCGGTAGTCTTTAATCTCGAACCAGTCCAATCTCATTAAAATCAGATCTTATTTCTCGCTACCCTCCAACAAAGCGAGTGACTGAGTGAGTATGGTTTAACGCCGCTTTTAGCAATATGCAAGCAATATCACGGCGAGGGACACCAGAAATGGGATTCACACATTGTACCCATGTTGGGAATCGAACCCGGGTCTTCGGCGTGACGAGCGAACGCTTTAACCACTAGGCTACCCGACCGCCCCTCGCTGGGAATTAAGGATCCTGGGGTGTTCATAATACTTCTGTACAGACTCCCTGATAATACCCCCGGCTGCAGTGGAGTAGTGGCATTTTATGATTTCCCTGTTAACCGCACAACGACCGATCCCTCCGCAAATAGTTCGTACCAGATAACTGCTGATTTTCAGAAATATACCCTTTTTTAAAATTAGATATATACTTCTATAACCAACAACATTTACATAACGCTCAATGATACCCCCGGACTGTGTCGTGTGATGTGATAGTCACGTGACCGAGCAAATCTAGTTCTAATATGGATTTCCCCAATGCTGGGGATTGAGCTGAGCCGATCGCTACTTTATCGCCGCTTGTCGACTTTTCCGAAAATGGATTTTTCCTTTTAATGTTTATTTTTCAAATTATCGCTGCATATCACTGATGGAGTTACCTAAACATTATCAATTAATTCGTTTCTTGGCACTCGGCCTTTTCCGGAAAACAACATTATTGAAAACCAAACACCAGAACAATGACTTTAGCTTGTCTCACCTTTAGCTGTCGCTCTGCGTAACTCCTTCAAGTCCATCTGCAAATAGTCAAAAACCCTCATCGTTCTGTATTTTCGATCCATACATGCAAGGTCTGAAATTAATTTTTGGGGCACTGGAAATTTCCGAAAAACTATTACAGCTATGGGTAGAATTTGGTTTTCATTTTGTATTCCAAGATAATACTGATCATAATCAAATCATCACTATCATCATCACCACCACCATCAACATACAATTTTGCTGTTGCGACTGCTGTTTTTTTATATTGTTCTATTATTTTTAATCAATATCATCATGATTATTCAGTATGATTGTCATATCTGTATATGTGTATTATAAATGTATTAAAATCATGTCTCAACTACAGTGGTGAACTTCTTGTTGCATTTTTAATCGATTAATGCTTAGGGTCCTAAGCAAGCATGCCCGTCATACGAGAGGTTTTCAGTTCATATGTCTATTGTATGAAAGACCTTAGACCCAAATACAGTGCATGCTGCACAGTGCATCTTCCCGAGGCAAGAGAGTTAACTGACTTTAAAAGTCCAGTTTCCACCCTTCACGAACTAGGCTGGAATTTCTGGGCACGATCGTTGCGTAACCAGTGGCTATTACGAGTTATGTCCCTTCTATGTCCCTCCTATTGCCCAATAAGATTCCACCTCTCACATCGCTTGCATTTGCTTCAAACAAAAAGGCGGCACCCAGCCAAGACTATCTGATTAAAATCTATATTGTGATAAAACAGGTCTCACTTCGTGAAGTGCATCAAATCATATTGATTGAAAACATGAACAGATTTGAAAAAAACGCTGAGTTAGCGATTTAAATAATTTGTATTGCTTTCGAATGTCTCCTAAGGATGGGCACACAGATGATACAGATCTTCGTTATTGTTTAGGTTGGTTAGAATATGTACATAATCTTACAAACACAGGAATTTGTTGGTGCCTTATCAGTATTAAGTATTGTACAAGCAGGAGCAGAATCGGTATCAAATTCAACTAACATCTAGTCTCTGAAATGAGCATATCTTACAGAAAAAACAGTTGTTAAATTGTCTTATTAAAATACATGTATAATAAAAAGGAGCCCAGGAAATCTCTTTCAGAAACTGCTGTAATCTAGACTTGCCGTCTACTATAGACTTGCATTGTATTGGATGTAATTGCTTTTGGTTATAATTGACAGACTAGCAGCAAATGTACACACGGACCAATCCGTTAAATGTTTCTCTGCTTTTAAAAATAGATTGAATGGAAATAGTGGTCAGGCTTGATGACGTGTCTGATTCTCATAATATACGACGGCATGGGACATTGCCCTGTAATCAGGCTCGCTGACTTGGTTGATGCATGTCATCGATCCCAATTGCGTGGGTCGATGCTCATGATATCAATCACTGGTTAGTCTGGTCCAGACTTATTATTAACTGGCCACCTTCATGTTGCTTAAATACTGCTGAATCGGTCGCCAAGCGACAAACAAATAAACAGACGTAAACTGTTTTTTTGTAAGGCCAGTTAAACATGACCGTATTAGTCCAGGTAATCTAGGCCATTTTTTCATTAAACTTGGTACAAATTGCGACAGAATTTATTTTACCATAATGCATTTCTAAGGTCCCTGTTTGGGAAATATGTCTAATTTGCATAATCCAATATGGCCACCAATTATCAATATATCTTCCATATTTCAGATGAGGGTCAATGTTTTGATGAAAAAAGCATGTGTTGTATTGCGAAATAGCCATAATATGTTTCTAAAAAGATATTCACAACAACTGAACGTTCTCGACAATTGACAAATCTGCAAAAATTCAAGATGGCCGTCAAGTTTCCTAAATGTGTGTTTACACTGTTGAATCTTCTAACTCTAAAACAGTGAAACCTTATTTTGCCTGGACTATATTTCTCAGGACCATTTTCAAACTGCCTGGGTAAGCAGTGATGATTTTTTTCTTTAAAGGGCTATATATAAATCTCTAAAAGTAAAGTTATCTCTCATGTACTGCGTGACTTCCTTTGGCCACGCCCCTTGCGTGTCGAAGTGTGATTAGTTTGTTTGTTGTTAAACGCCGCACTCAGCCATATTCCAGCTATATGACGGCGGTCTGTAAACAATCGAGTCTGGACCAGACAATCAAGTGATTGACATCATGAGCATCGATCTACGCATATACGATGTGATGCCTCAATCACGTCTGCGGGCCTGACCTCCCAATCCCGTTAGTCACCTCTCACGACAAGCATGGATTGCTGAAGACCAATTCTAACGGGATCTTCACGGGTTGCAGTGTATGAAGAGACGGCCATGGTAACGGCTGGGTCCAAAGGATCTGGCGGCGGTCGGGTAGCCTAGTGGTTAAAGCGTTTGCTCGTCACGCCGAAGACCCGGGTTCGATTTCCGACATGGGTACAATGTGTGAAGTCCATTTCTGGTGTCCCCCGCCGTGAAATTGCTGGAATATTGCTAAAGCGGCGTAAAACCATACTCACTCACTCACCAAAGGATCTGACACCTTGTGAATGGCATGGTGAGTGATCTGGTGCAAAAACGAAATTTGAGTCAGTAAGGATAAGATATATGGATGAACAACTTCTTTATCACAATTAGGTGAGACGTTTCGGTGTAGGTTCTAACACAATTATTTATCAAGCAAGTGATGACTCCAACTTCTAAATGCCGATCAAAGAAGGAAATTTGACTTTGAAAAAGGTTGTTTCATTTTGTTTCAAACAAATACAAACACTTGGAGAGGTGCTCGTTCGTCACAAACGACATCAGGCCAGTAGTTGGATATTATGCCAGAGGGCTTAAAGTCATGCTCTCAGCACAATCTCATTAAAACCAGATGTTTTACGCCAATACACCTCTCTGCGTGAAGGTATCAGAATACTTCCATATGAGGTCGTGTCAAGTTAACTTTCTAATCAGCGTGGAGGCTTCTAAATTCTCGGTACGAGTGAGTTAAGCTTTCAGACTTACATTCTGAATTCTGTATCTTGAAAACGAAGTTAATCGGCTTGTTCCGAATGTAAACGATTAATCCCGCGCCATCATATCGTGGTGGATAGTTTATTCACCCTGTCGTATCTGGGACCTATGACATCTTCACCCAAATGGGATAACATTCGAAGGGAAATTTGTGTTCTGTGTGGGGTTTCTTTTTTTAATTCGAGGGGCGGTCGGGTAGCCTAGTGGTTAAAGCGTTAGCTCGTCACGTCGAAGATCCGGGTTCTATTCCCGACATGGGTACAATGTGTGAAGCCCATTTCTGGTGTCCCTCGCCGAGATATTGCTGGAATATTGCTAAAAGCGGCGTTAAACCATACTCACTCACTCATTGTTTAACTCGAAATTTCCGAATCGAGGTGGTGAAGAAATCGTCAGTTCTGAAAGCTGATTGACCCAAGAACTCACGCGTCCTACATTTTGATTGGGCGGTCAAGGTTCGATCAGACAATGTTCACCTGACGCGACCGTTTACGGACGTGTCCTCACTTCTTGGCGCAGAGCTCGAGAGGCACCCTATCAGAGTAGAGGTTTGGTTCACAGCACGTCGGTACCACAGTGTCATAACTATAGACAACGTATGCATGATAAAAGCTTACATGATCTGTATAATTTGAGAAACCGGCAAATATATGAATTGTTCATATGAAGGAGGAATGTACGTTTTGTTCACACTAAATCTAAAACTTGGTTCTTCAGACTATTAATCCCGACGTCGCTGAATCTTGCACACACTATCAACCCCGACGTCGAAGATTCTTGCACACACTCTTAATCCCGACGTCGAAGATTCTTGCACACACACAACCCCAACATCAAAATTCTTGCACACACTCTCAATCTCGACGTCCTAGATTCTTGCACAAACTATCAATCCCGACGTCGAAGATTTTTGCACACACTATCAACCGCGACGTCAAAGATTCTTGCACACACTATGAATCCCAACATCGAAGATTGTTGCACACAATATTAATCCCGATGTTGTGGAATCTTGCACAATCTATCAATCCCGACGTCGACGCTTTTTGCACACACTATCAACCCCGAAGTTGAAGATTCTTGCACACAACATGAATCCCGATGTTGTTGAATCTTGCAGAAACTATTAATCCTGACGTCGAATTTTTGCACACACTATCAATCCAGATGTCGTAGATTCTTGCACACAAAATCAACCCCGATGTTGTTGAATCTTGCACACAATATCAATCCCAACGTCAAAGACTCTTGCACACATTATCAACCCGACGTCGTAGACTCTTGTACACACTATCAACCCCGACGTCGAAGATTCTTGCACACACTATCAATCCCGATGTTGTTGAATCTTGCACACACTATCAATCCCAACGTCAAAGAAAAGACTCTTGCACACATTATCAACCCGACGTCGTAGACTCTTGTACACACTATCAACCCCGACGTCGAAGATTATTGCACACACTACCAATCCCAACGTCGCAGACACTTGCTCACACTATTTACCCCGACGTCGAAGATTCTTGCACACACTTTCAACCCCGACGTCGTCGAATCTTGCACAAACTATCAACCTTGACGTCACAGATTCTTGCTCACACAATCAACCCCGACGTCGTAGATTCTTGCACACACTATGAACCCTGACGTCACAGATCCTTGCACACGCTATCAACCCCGACGTCGTAGATTCTTGCACAAACTATCAATCCCAACGTTGAATATTCTTGCTCACACTATCAACCACTGCTTTGTCTAATCCAGACTCGAACACTTTGCAAGACACTGTGATTTAACTGTAATATTGCTGACTGCAGCTAAATATGAATGTGCTCATTTACCTCAAAATCATTTTACAGAATAGGAGACTTTTTTATTAAAAAGACAAACAAACATGGTAACTCATCATATCATTATCAGCTAATCGTTTGTATGGCGTTCAACGAAATGGGAAACGGATATGCTTGTCCTCAAGTCTCGATAGGGCAATGTCATTTACAAATGCATCTCCTTTGCGGCATCCAATTACACACACGCCACATCACGTGCCTACAGACCTCCTCGTGACAGTAGGGTGAGATGGAACTTCGAGGAAATGACTCATTGTCATTAGGGATCAACAATTTGATATTCTGAGGGTGGGGATGGGGGTGGCTTGAATTTTATAGACAAAAAGAAATTGTACCCAAAACTCCTTGAAAAACAAAATTATGCTTCAGACTGTTGAAAAAATTGCCTGCTACAAAAAAGACGTTGTGACAAGGTGTTTTTCTTTTTAAAATTCAGGCTCAAAGTTCTAGGGGGGATATTTCGGAGGATGGCGCGGTCTTTGGGGTAGATATGTTGTGTTGACCTTCATTATTAGAGGC